TAAAATAATTTTTTTAAAAATATTTTTAGTTCTAGTTTTTTCATTTTTCAGTTTACAAGTTCAAAAATTTACAAGTTCCAAAGTTATGAGTTCGGAGGTTTATATATTTGAAAGTTTACGGGTTCAAAAGTTTAGCGGTTCGGAAGTTTATGAAATTTGTGTGTTCGGAAGGTTGTTGGTTCAAACGTTTATGGCTTCATGTTTATTGTATCTAAATTGAGAAGTTATTTTCCTTAATTTGCGTACCAAATGCCGGAAAACGAATAAGATTACTACTTGTTTTCTAAGAAAATATTTTCTTGAAAAACATTTTCCACGTAAAACACATTTTCCATTATACCAAACACACCTTATGTCTACGCATTTTGAATCAATTTTTTTTGTGACATTCGAGATTATAGTAGAACAATAATTACTATGCCTCAATTTTAGTTAACTCCACATGCGCGTCCTTGCTTATATTGCTGATCTCAAGCTCAAATAAAGGAAGTTTATGATAGAATGACAATTGACGTAAAACTAGCCAATTCAAGATGATAGTAATTTTCCTAGAATTGGAAGGAAAAATAAAAGACTAAACGACTACATGTATACTGAATCTGAACCAATCTATTACGAAAAAAGAAAAAAGGATCTCACCAGTTTCTTTTTCTTAGTTGTGATTGCATTTCTTTTTTGGTGAAAAAAAAAACTCTATTTTGTTTGCTTGTGGAAGATATTGCTACACAGTTTATTTACATCTCTTCTCGTTCAGGGAAAGGGAAGTATTTTAATTCCAATCATATGCAAACTTCAGTTATAAGTAGGAAAGAATGGAATAAGATCTCACATTTCAGTACAGGGAGGTGTTCCCAGGAAATAAATTAATAAAAGTGATAATTAAAACATACCAACTTTGACATTCCTAATATATAGGTGAAGGAAAATGTGTTACCTGACTCCTCATATACTCTTTTTGTAAGGGGAAATCATTAAGTTAATAATAAGGAATGCAGATTAAATTCAACATTCATCATAATCATAGTGTTGATCATACTCTTATCCTCCAACATCCTCATCGTAACGCATATGGTTCTTCGTACGTCTCGTCTACTTTGTGATCAATTTTGCTCTCTCGAATTGCCTGTATAAATAACATGATCAAGTTAAACATATTTATGGAGATGAGAGCAAGAAATATTTTCGATTTGTGTTATTTGTCCATAGATGAACAAACGAACAATTTATATCTCGGGATAGATTCTCATATCTCAAGCTACAACAACTATGCCTCAATCCCAAATAAGTTGGGATATGTGATATGAGTCCTCACTTCTTTCTTTAAGCTCAAGTATCTCAAGCTGAAGTAAGATAATTGTGAGTGTATAGCAAGTTGTTAAATGCATCTCCAAGAACTTTAATAGTAGAGATCATAAGATCAGCAACAGTGACAAAGGAAAAGTCTGATAAATCTACAATATTTTGATGCTGCAATATTTAGTTTTCATTATTTAATTTCCTCCCATTTCTTGAATATCCAAATATTACGCATAATAGCATCTCAAACGCCAGTGACCTCCATCCACCACCAATACCGAACATTCTGCTTATGTTCTTTCCAGTAAGGGCAAAAACCGAAGATTTTTTCCAATAAAGAAAAGATACTTTGCTAAAGGAATTGACATCTGAGTAAAATTGAAAATTAAAAGCAGGTATAATGGAATTCTGTAGAAATTTTGGAGTAGGAGAAGCACATACAGAATCGTCAAAAAGCTTTTCTAGCACATCAAAGTTGATCTTAGATCTCAGCCTCTGCATCAAATGACATAAAGCTAAGGTAAGGTACAAACAACACAACCGATAAATCTGATATATATTGTTTCATGAAAAAGAGGAAGATATACCATGCAATGCAAACATATGACAAAGAGTAAAAAGAAATGATTAAGATATGTTGAAATTGAACAAAACCAACACTCAACAAGACTACCTGTAAGGCAAGCCCTTGCTACTTTCTAAGCTTTCTCTCTTATCTCGCCAATCTAGTATTGCCATATACGAGAAAGGGGGAGAGAGGAAAGCCTTAGGGTACGCTCACTTCAGCATTTTTGTTTAGGTTCTCGAGATTCTCAATCGCTCTTTTTAGTGGGGAGGAATAGTATGTGAATGGCGGTTCTCAGACGAGGGAATCATTCCTCTCTAAATAAAAAGAAGCTAGAATCTTTCTATTGATAGAGCTTTCACGTCTGCACGGCCTCAGAGGAGAGGGGCTCCAAAAGTGGATGTGATCGGCCTCAGAGGAGGGGGGAGGCAACTTGGGATAGAAAAACTGGAACATGATGCAAGTTTGCTGTATCGGCAAAGCTGAAGTCCAGGAAACTTATGCTAACAATGAGAAGTCAAAAAACATACAGCTATAGGCAAGATGACAAATCTGTAATAGCAAATGGAGTGATTACAGCAACTACAAAACCAGGAAACACTAAAAGATTATTTGCAAGCATCCAGAAAGTACTCTAGCCTGTCTCCTCAACTACTACAAATCTCTGAAGATTTTTTTTTTTTTTTGAATTGGTAACTATTGTAAATATTATAAATATCAGTACTTAGGTTGCACTGAAAACCAAATTTACATTGAGAGAATTTGTAGATGTTCTAATTTGGGACCTAGCAAGATCCTAGTATGTCTATGATTGTCAATGTATCTTCTGTGTGCATCTGTTTGCACCAAAAACAAAAAAGAAGAATACAATTGAGTTTGATCTTCTGCACAGGATTGCTTCTGTCTTCAAAACATCTAGTGTTCCTTTCCCTCCAGACTGTCCACCAAATACAAGCCGGAACAGTCCTCCATCTATCTCTGCTAGTTGCTTCAGCTCCAGCTTCTTCCCAGCTATAAATGACATCTTTAATCCTGTATGGCATTGACCATGAAATACCCCTAAGACTAATAAAGATTTTCCATAGTTGGTCTGTAATCTTGCAATGAAGAAACAAATGGTTGACAGTTTCTGCATTTTCCCCACACAGAAAACATCTTGAACACAGAGAAATTCCCCTTTTTATGAGATTATCCTGGGTTAAGACCGCCTCCTTCGCTAGTAGCCATGTGAAGCAAGCTACTTTGTATGGAATCTTTGTTTTCCATATATGTTTCCAAGACCATGTGTCTACCTGTTGATTATTATGATTCAAAATCTTGTATGCATCCTTCACTCGGAAAACCCCTCTGTTGTGCCTCTTCCACCATATTGAATCCAGCCCTTCCTGTAATCATGTAAATGCCTCCAGCTCTTTGTAAAGGTCAGCTAGTCTTGTTATCTCCCAGTCATTCAGCCGTCTTCTTATAGCTATTTCCCATCCTTGACGACTCCTCATATCAGCTACTGTCCTATGCTGGTTTTGTGCTAAACCGAACATATCTGGGTATCTTTCCTTTAAGCTTCCAATTCCTAACCAATTATCATTCCAAAATGATGTGTTCCTTCCGTTGTTCCCTCTTATGGAGGAGTGATTCTCCATTATAGGCCAAAGTTCTCTGATGGATTTCCACACACTTACTCCATATGATGTACTGACTTTTTTTGACACCCAGTTGTTTTCTTCACCATACTTTGCTTTGATCACTTTGCCCCATAAAGATTGGGGTTCTTTAGAGTACTTCCATAACCATTTAATTCTAAGAGCCTTGCTTTGGTTCTTCAAATTCCTTATCCCCAATCCACCTTGTTTTTTATCCATTGTTAGTGTCTTCCATTTGACTAAATGGAAGACCTTTTTCTCCTTATTGCCTTGCCAAAGGAATGATCTTCGAAGTTTGTCCAATCTCTGTAGAATGCCTGCTGGAATTGGGAACAAAGACATCATGTAAGTAGGTAGAGAGTCTAATAATGAGTTGATTAGAACTAGCCTACCCCCCAATGATAGGTATTGCGATTTCCATCTTGACAACTTCGTCTCGCATTTTTCTATGACTGAATTCCAGATTTCTTTTGATTTGGATCTTGCACCAATAGGCATCCCAAGGTAAACAGTTGGTAGGGATCCAACTTCTCCTCCCAATATCTGTGTCAGTTCCCCCATGTTGTTAACTTCATTAATGGGAAAAATATTGTTTTTTCTCCAGTTAATGTGTAATCCTGATACTCCCTCAAATAAAACCAAAATGATCCTTAAGAATCTAAGTTGGTCTTTTTCAGCATCACAGAAGACTAGAGTATCATCAGCATATTGGAGATGTGTGATCTCTAGATTGTTAGCCCCACTCCTGTTTACCTCGAAGCCTTTAACCCATCCACTGACTTTAGCCGTTTTGATCATGTTGTTCAAACCTTCCATGGCAATGATGAATAGAAAGGGTGATAAAGGATCACCTTGTCTGAGACCTCTGTGTGAGTGAAAATAACCTTTAGGACATCCATTTATGAGAATGGAGAATTTCACATNGTTGCCTTTTGCATACTTTCATGATTTACATTGGGGGTTGGCTCCCCTGGAGAGGACTCTTTTGTCCCCAAGTAAGCAGGTCCTCCCATTTCCTCGATATAAGGCTTCAGCCCAGTATCAACAGAAAACTCACACGAGAGGTCATTAAAAATGACTTGTGCAACCAAATCGGGGTCATAGGATTTCAGCTCGATTTTTGACACTTTACTGCTCTGATTCATCGAAGTTGAACCTTGTGTAAGTTGCCCACTTTCCTTTCCTTTATCAGTGCTTAGTTCATACCGTGTCTTTCTTTCAGCCCAGATTGGGATGAAAAATTTGGTACCGTCTCTTTCAATCCCAACCTCATTGGGAGTCTTTCTGCCATCACCAGCAATTTTGATTCTTGCCCACTTAAGATGATTTTTGAGATCAATTTCTTCTTCTGTAGCTAACCATCCCCACATAGATCTCCTATTTCTTTGAAGATCTTTTGTAACCATAGATGTAAAGGAATTCTCATGGCTCTAATCCAGCATGTTTCCTCAATTTGTGAGTTTGGAATGCATCCAGCAGTATGATTCCACCATTCCAGATGAAGCTTGAACTTTTTCCATCTCCATTCCCCTTGCACAATCTGCTCCGCCATGAATCTGTTTGGAAATTCAAAAAGAAACATGTTGCCTGTCATTTCGTATATGTTTACTCCATATGCTTTGTTCCATGAAGCACTAGCCCATCGCCTTATGTCTGCTAAAGTGGGTCTCTCATTGATTTCTTTCCCAAAAAACCCGATAATGCATCTTTTTAGGAGACCTGTGTCCTCTCCTCCAGTAGGTTCCAAAACAGAGATTTCCCCATTGCTCGTGTTGACCCTTGCCTCTCGAAGGGTATTGGATTGCCATTTACTCTCCTTAACTGCTTGGGCATAAGGAAGATTTTCCACAGTGTTTCTGGGTGGTACTATGGAATTCAGCCTGGTGTTCTGATAAATGAATCTTTCTATCTTAGCTGCTATGTCTTTCCAGCCGGAATTCAAAGTTAACTCGGGGATTATTATTACAGACCTCCCTTCTCCCTTCAGTGACAGAATACTCATATATCTTCCATGAGCGTTAAATTTCCTAGTACAGAAATGTTCTATCATTTGCTCCTTGTACTTCCATCTCTTCACTAGATTGTTTTGATCTGTCGATGCTT